TACGAATCTATATAGTCATAAGGTTAAATACCTTTTCTTATAATTAAATGTTATAGGTGTTTAGGAAAAAACTTAACTGTTTCTCTAAACAATAAGAAATAAAACACTTTTTTTTGCCGAGAAATAAATATAATTTTAAAAAACAAACGTTTTCAGCCTAGTTAATAGGCCATCTTCAGGTCGAAAACTAAAATGGAACGTAAATGTTCCATGAATAGAACATAAAAATTTTAAATCAAAAAAAAATTTTTTTCTTTGTACAAGAAAAAAATAACGGAAGAATATATAAAAATTAAAATAAAACAATAAAACAAAAATAACATAAATCTTCAATGTACTAATTCTGGTCGAAGTTTCTAGTAAATTTCTTAACCAAATATTTCCATGCCGATGGTAGGCTCTCCGCATCCCTCGCATTTAAACAGCCTTCTCCTATCTTACTTCTGTATATTTCTATTTTCTCCGCCGTCATTGCTAGAGTTGGGGAAGACAGAGGTTTGATGATTGTTGCCTCATCCCATTTTACCTCAGAGCCTTGCGCTTGCGCCATTTGGGACAAAATCGTTGAATTAAATGCTTTTCTTATGGCATATCTATGTTCTTTGAGCCTTACTCCCAAGTTTCTGGTAGTGACGCCGATATAATCTTTTTGTTTTTTAAAATTATATTTGTTTCTCGGCAAAAAAGGTGTTTTGTTTCTATTTAGTTGCTGAGCGCTTTTGATATTAATATGGCTATAGTTTATTTCGTGGCTATTTGATAGATGTCGATAGTTCTTATAATCATCAAATGCCTTTCATAGTTTCATCATAACCAATAACCAATTCTTGGCTACTCCATTAATATCGACTAAACTTAATCAATATCAGTATACATAACCAAGTAAATATCCGTATGATATACCCATGACGTAAAGAGAAACATTACACTAAGCAATATCTTGCTCATGATATATGAGTCTAGATACAAGTGTATCGCAGTATATGTAACGTGAAGTCGCGATTCGATGAGAGAGTTGCCATGTATCTTACGCGAATTTCCTTTTCACGGGACTAAATCCAATCTCGGGTCATAGGAAAGATACAGAAAAACGTGAATTGCATAGTCGTAGAGCGTCTGAAAATTAATAAGAAATGTTTTTGTGCGATTAAAATACCCAAAGAGGAAAACAAGCATAAATTGAAACAAAATCAAAAAAACAGTTTGGAAAAATCTTATGACGCTTGTCTGCGTGATCTCGCGCTATTGATTTAGCGTAACAGTTCCAAACCGATAGATTAGTTGCAACGATTTTCTCTGCCCCACATAATATATTACGCTTTAATACAATTCAGAAGCATAAACATTAATCAATAAAACAATAAAACAGTAATAAATCATTCAATAAGTGCATTTTTAGATTTATAGTAAATCTTATGAATGTAAATTATGCATCGGTAAAGTAACATATTTAACATATTTTGAGTAATTCAAGAAAACATCTTGTACAAGACAAACACTAGCATGACGAGTATAAATGGAATGAGTAAACACTATAAAATAATTCCGATTTTATGAGAGAAGTAAATGTAGTTATCAGTTAGCATTTTCCTTAAACGGGAAAGGTAAAAATTTGCTGGGATGGAGGACCAGGAAATGTTCTGTGTCCGATGCACAATCGATCCTCTTTGCGAAATTATTCGATTTTATGGATGCGAAAGTTTGGCAGCTTGTTCTCATTTGCCTTCGCGATCCAACAGAATGCGGAAATTCTGTTCTCAGATTATGGAGTTCCTATTGTGGATCAACGTGACTATGTATATTCTGATGATATTGTTTTATGACAGTACAATACGAATATCTTGCGAATCGTGGTTGAACGATTTTTCAGAAATTAAATTCCTTTATATGACATCAATAGTTATTTTTAGCTTCATGCTCTCGGCCGTATTTTCTATCAACCGCCGCAAGTTGCTTATTTTCTCAATACAGACAAGTCATCCTGAAAAAAAGTACAAAATAGAAAATATCATCAATATCGTACTGAAATTACAATTGGCAATTGTTATCTTCATTACGTTTGGTCAATTTTTTCAGATAATTACAGCAAGATATTTCAATATTTATAAAGCGGAGGGAGGAACGATGGCGCTGATCTGCACAACGTTCATGATAACGCATGATTCTCTCATGGCTAGTTATATTATAATTTATGCCATGTTATTCTTCGTAATCGTGACCATCACTAAAGACTGTTTTATAGCATTGTCTGAAGAATTAGAGAACGTTAAAAGTTACCGAGCGTATGCAGAATTAGAAATTATAATAGTAAAGCATACAGAGTTAATGGAACAGGTTCATCGCTTGAATGACTCTTTTAAAAGTTCGATATTTTTGATATACACTTCATTCATCTGGTTATTTGCAATTATTCTCAATATTTTCGCGACATTTAGAACATATCACATCGTAACCACTTCAACAGCAATTGTTTGTTTTTGCATCGCCATAATTGCATGGCTTTATTTTATCTTTATCGTCTCCACCGTTTCTACTGCTGTAAGTATTCTTGCTTTGTCTGCAGGCGAAATTCTGTTCTGTTTACTATTAGACTTAAATTATAGAGATTTATTTTATTTTCAATAGTTAGAAGAATATATTTTTTTATGAAACTTAAAATTTCACTGACATTATTTTCATGTTTAGGCCTACGGATCGTTTCAAGAAATCAGGAAATTCAGTTATCTGCAAATCTGCATCACTAAGAAGTTAAAGTAATCATTTCAAATATTCATAATTACTTAAATCATTCTGTCTACTAAATATGAAATTTTCATGTAGATACTGAATTTCATGAAGAGATTCGGAAAGATTCCTCTCGGCATGACCTGTGGCGATTTCTTCGTCATCACCAGAAAAACTCCCTTAAAGGTACGAATTTCTGAGATTATGAGTAAATTACAATTCTATGTTTTATAATCTTTTAATATTTCAGATGACCAAAGCGTTCTATTCTGCATTTTCTATTATTTGCGATATAAGAAGATCGTCGCGTCGTTGTGGTACTTCGATTCTAACGTTGTAAAGAAACATATTATTAGAAATAATCTGATAATTTCACTTTTCTTATGGAATCTTATAGTTATTTCAAATTAAGTACTGCACAGGTTGATACTGATTATTTAGATAAATACAATTAATACACAAGTAGTGTAGCTATTGTCAGCGACAATTTTATTAACCACTGTACACTATTATATATTACATAACACGCTATCCATAGACTATAATTTTTTTATTAAATGACAAAAAGCACTAAATAAGCATTACAGTTAAGCACGTTTGATGTATTGTCCTAAATTGGAAATAACTAACGCGAATAGTATTCGAGTGTTTTGTTGTATTTTAATGTACAGCGCACCAACATCAATTGTTTAGATGTTTTTGCAATCATTCCTTACGTGTAAGCATAAATATTGTTTGAAATGATTAATAAAATTAACTTTATAGGTTTCTATTTCGTTTTCATTTTTAATGAGATAGCGGTAAAGAATGCAAAGGATGGGAACAATCTCATCAATTTAATTTGCATAATTATGCAATAGTAAACAGTTACGTTATACTTACAATCAGTGCCTTCTCTACACATTAATAATTAATTAAAAATACATTTAGAGAAGTCTACAGTTTTTACTGGCTTATCGAACAAACGAATACGAATGGACCCTAGACCATCACTGACTGATTGCCCCTGGAAGTCGGCTTGTTACAAAAAACACAGCTTCCCTATCATCAAATGTCACGGCACGCCCCTAATCGAAAGAAAATATTGTCTCGGCCTAAACAATTTGAAAGGTTAGAAACTTACTAAGCCTTCGGGAGAACGACGGTAGTTAACTTCAAGGAAACAGACTATTTTGTCAGGCTGCAGAGCGTATAAAAAGTTATAAGAGAAGGTTTCTTCTTCCAATAGTGAGACTAGTAATATTTATCACGTCTTTCTTAACTAGCCTACCAGTGACCAAGCGGTCTTCGTTCCCTGAACACTGTTAATTCGATCGTGGGTCGCTCGGACGGGCTGGCCACGTGGAGTTTTCCGGGCTTTCTCCACGTCTGTAACATGGACCTCCCGGAAGGCATCTCCCCCTAGGCAGAGATCGTCCAAGTGTTGCGTTGCCATAACTCAAACAAACCAAACCTTTCTTAATTATGCACAACTAACAGAGATTGACATTAAAACAGTTTTCTTTATTTCGCCTATTTAAGAATGCATTTCGGATTGGTAATTTTCTAATCCTTATTCGGGCTCACGGCTTTAGTGTCTCCAATATAACGAACAAAAGGTTAGTTCGTCTTAATATACTTTTGTTAGGCAAAATGATGGATATAGTGCACAATTTGTACACATCCTAATGGTGTAGTTTGTAGTTATCAGTCTCTTTCTCTTACTGGCATGCTTTCTTTGTCTATTTTTGATAGGCAAATGCAACGCTTTCTTTCATTTTTCACAGTTATTAACTTCTTATTACCTCTTAGAAGGATTTTAACTTCAATATTGTGGTTCGTAACACGACAACGGTCAAAATGTGGTTTTTCATTGTAATATTTTCACAAGTTGAAGCCAAAGTTTTCACAAAAAAACTATAAGTACAAGCAATTATTTATTGTGTCATGGTCACAATGCCGGGCTGCAGTTCTTAATCATATTTTGAAATTATTTAATTTAAAATATACGGTCTCCACCTCAAATTAGTAGTGGCTCGTGCCTGTACATCACACTTTTAATAATAGTCATCTGTTAACTGACGTTTTGAATTAAAAAAAAACGAGACTTTCGGTTTGAATCGGAAGATCATATATAGTTAATTGGGGCTCCTGTCTCTAAAGTTTCCACATCTGGTCTCGGATTTCATATAATTCCGTTCTCGAGGTTAAGACATGCGGACGGACGACAATGACAAAATTTGGAAATAAATGTAGCATTCCCCCCAAAGCAAAATTGTCGCGTTGTAAGTAAAAAAAATTATCAGCGGTCAGGAAATAAAATATCATGGCACGAGAGGTACGAGCGAAAGTTTCAAAGTTGGATCAACAACACTTGCGGATGTGTCAAATTGATTAAGCGATCACATTAAGAATTTAAAGGAGAGATCCTTTAAAAAGTCAGAAATTCAAGGAGAAAGAATGGTCGTTTTACCCCTAGCTCAGTCCGTTTATCCTCTGTGTCGATCTCCCGTTGTCTCGGACTTAATTTTCGTTCGGCCGTATTATAAAGGTTTTTCGGTATTTTTAATATTAACTTTATCATGTTTGATGTTGCATTAATAGGCGAAACCCGCAACCCCGATGGCGACCGAGGAATCTTTCCGCAAAGCGAAATCCTAAGAATTTGATTTATTTCATGCCATGGTCGAAAATGAACGAAAAAGATATTTATTCGAACGAATTTCGGAGATGGTCAAGCCTCGAGAAGTAGAATTTAAAAAGATCGTCTTTTACCTCTCCACGGTCGACATTCTGCACCAAGTAAATGCAGAAGATAATTTATTTATCAAATTTAAAAAAGAAAAATAATTATAAATTAATTAATTAAAAAAANAACTTACTTGATAATAACCTTACCTAAAATAAAATGAATATTTTTACATTCTAAAATATATGGTGGGCCAGTTCTGTTATACCTTGAAACATATTTTAAGCCATGAGATCCTTCAGATGAATATTCCTCTAAATGTGGAAGTTCCATCATATAAGATTTATATTCTGTCAAGAAATAAATCCATGGCTTTAAAGTCTTTCCATCTGTACAATATGTTTTGTCCTTGCTTTCTAAGACCTGAACATTTTCTTCTTTTCGTTCATAATATGTTGGATGGCATTCTAATTCATCCATTTTTTTAAGCATTACATCATCTACTAAATACAGTTCACCTATAACATGCTGTGAAAAGAGAATTTTTAATCATCTCAATCATAAAAGAAAGAAAAAATATGTAAAATTTTATAACAAATTATTTTATTATTTAAAAATGTATTTCTAATTTGTTAGCTTAGTTGTTGTTAAACATTATTGCTAAATAATTATTATTTTGAAACTAATATTCTAATTAATGGAAATTTTTAATAGATATGTTGTACAACCAATTTCACTACCACTTGGCAAGTGAATCTAGTAAATTGACATGAAAAAATATTTAAAGCTTCATCCCCACTAAAAGAAAAAAATTACTGTGGAAAAACAATGCAGAAACAGAAAATAAAAATTTTGTTTCCATATCACAGTCTAGAAAACAAAGTTAAAAATATTTTATTTTTCTACTGTGCACACAGAAATAGAAGCTTGATAGCCAACAGAAAGCAATAGTTGTAAATAAAGATATTGAAAGGTTAATATGGTAGACAACAAACCCATATATGTCAAATTGCTTACAATGAAATGTAAACATACCATTATATTAGTAACTTTTTAGATATCCAACAATATTTAACTTTTGAAAAAGTGCATAAAAAGGAATGAATCCAGAACACGATGATAAATTATTTGCTTGTCATTATATTATCAACCATGCTACTACTAATTTGGAATTCTCATGTCATTTCAATGCACTAATAATGGACATTACTTGAATTTGTCTTCTGCAAAACAGACATTACATCTCAAGTGTTTTCTGAAAATGTTATAAAACACTTTGTTTTCTATTTGTTTCTTCTTCAAATAGTAACTATGATTTTCTGTGATATTTCTACAATATTTACAGAATATTATACTATTTTATAAGTGAAAACTAGACTTTATTATTACATGAAAAATCAAGATGTGTTTTATGAATGTTGTTTTGAAAATTACATTCATTTTAAGATGAAAACAATAATCATAGTTTTGAAAGGATCAGTCCAACATTACTAACAGACACATTGCAAAAGCTGGTTCATACAGTGAATTAACTGCAGTGTTTCAAATGCCCTTCAATATACTTGTGTTTATTTGTGTCTATATTTACATTTCTGTGAAGAAACAGGAATTTATTTTCAAATACTGCATCATCATAAAATTTTCTGTTATCCTTTTTTTCTTTTTATGTGTGTAGCTATTCCTTCATTCCACCTAGATGGTGGACTTTGTACCGAGTAAGTACCTTGGTCATTTACACATAATATACAAAGATATGATTGAACTTAAAATGACAAGACAATTTTAATTTTTAAATTTTGATACTGATGACCATTTACATTAACAATCATTTATTTACTCATTTATCAATAGTAACCAAATACCTAATTGCCAGATTTATTGGACTAAATATATAATCTGGCCTAAAGGTAGGCAGTTCATCTATCAATATAAATAATCTAATTTAGAATAATTGGAAGAAAAGAATGAGGTTTCAAATCTGCATTTTCCATTTATTATATTACCCCATCTGATCCATTAGCTTGACCCCCATCTGATCCATTGAGTATTGATCCTAATTGAATGCAAGAAGGCCTTATTTCATAAGTGTGTTAGATTCCCAGTCCAATGTTCATAAAATGAAGAAAAATTTTAATTTATTCAAATACAATTGGTTCTTTCAGTACAAAAATTGACCTCTATAACTTAATTTTTATAACAAATTATGGTTATTTTATAATCACTTTATGGAATTAAGGCAGTTTGAGCTCAAGTGGCAGAAATGTTTTAATTCACGGTGACAATCCATGGCATAAAATTTTTCCATTACTTCATATCTTGAATATGGTCATTGGTATTAAGATAAAGTACAGTAAGACCCCACTTAACGTGGGGGATGTATTCCTAGACAACAAAGAGCTAAGCAAAACAGCATTAAATGAGGTCATTTTAACAGAATAAATAGGGATAGGGAAACACGTGACCAAAAATAAACAAATTTTACTTTAATTTTAAGTTATTTTTATATTAATTTGTATAATAATATATGTTAAATAACACATAAGCATATGCACACAGAAATGTAAAGTTCATTTTTTGTGATGAAGGTCCTGACTTTTCTGAAATTCTTGTTCCTTTGTAATAAAGTCGTGAAGTTTTATTTGTCGCTTTTTTCTTTCCTTAAGCAAATGTCGGTAGCAGAAGCCTGCATCCAAAATCCCTCATTTTGCCTTTCAAAATCTGGACCATTTGCTACAATTTGATCAACGATTTCAGTTATCTTACCAAACTTCTACTAAGAAATCTGTAGAGAAATATTTTGGGTTCTTCATTTTCAGAATCTCTATTTTCCAGTTCCACATGAATTCCATGTTCTGCCAGTTCTTGAAGGTCATCGTTGGTAAGGCTCTCACCAGAAACTTGCAGTAACTCCTCAATATCCTGCTCGTCTATATCTCCTAGTCCTGTTATATCGATTAGGTTGAGTTTGGCCAACCTAACGATACAGCAATAGGCTCTTCTCGTTCAGAATTCTTAGGTATCTTCAACCATAACTTCTTCCGTACTTCATTCGTGCATGTATCAGTTAATTCTTGCCAAGCAAAGTCAATATTTCCTATGGCATCCATGATGTTATATTTTTTCCAAAATTGCACCAAACAAACAGATTTAAAAAAAGTACACTTTTTTTGCCATGTTTTGCTGATTGGTTCGTGTTCATAAATAATCAATTATATACCAATCAATGAAATGCTGTGATAATTTAAATCAGTTTAAATTTTGAGCTTTTTTTAGGCTTCGAGCAGACCACGTTATATTGAATCTGCGTTAAGCAAGGCAGTGTTAAGCGGGGTCTTACTGTATTTGCACACAGAAATTGTTATGTATATTAGTTATTGTCATAACTGTGTTTAGAAGGATCAAATTTTAAATGTTTTACACACTTAAGAATGATATTCACCTTATCCAATGCATAAATCATTTCCATTTTTCTCCTTAATAGTAAGTGACTGTAGAGCCAATTTGATGTCTTTCTTAGCTTTTAGATGTCATTTTAATTTATTGTTTAAATACTATTAGCAAAACTCATTTTTTAGCAGTTCTTACATTATTCATATATAATCAAAGCCTATATTGCTTTGTAATCTCTATCAACAATATTATAGAATATAATGCAAAAAACAGTTGCGAACACTGCATACTCATTGCACCTTTGTTTTTGTCTTTTGCCAAGTTTTGTTATTTTTGTGTTATTTTTGCTGTTGATTTGGAAATTGTCATTAATTTGATCTTCATACACAGAATAAATATAAAATGAAATTTATATTCAAAACCTTCTTGTATTGTGCTTTGTTTCTATTTCATAAATTTTTCAAAGTGAACATCATGCATTTTTTAATAATAATTTAGTTAAACTGAATGATGTTACTTATTAACTATATTTTAATCTTATACATTAACTTATAATTAAGATCTAAAACATTATAATGGCATTAGCAGTTTGTTTATTACTGTTTGTTGAATTGAATTTGATTTTATTCTGAAATAAATAATCATTAAATATAAATTGTTAGATCAATTGTGTGAGATGTTATATGCATTTAGTAATGTGTTCTATCATGTGAAAATAGATCTGATCTCAAAAGTTTTTAAATAAAAATTATTCATATTTATCAAATTTAAATCTGATAAAAATGTAATTAAAATATGTAATTACAATGTAAATTAAAAAATGTAAAATATATTTTTTCACATGTTTATAATCTAAACATACCTTTCCTTTATTTTTAGCATATAGCAAGAAAGGAATATTATATCGTGAAGCAATTACAAGTGGCCATTTGTCATACGTTTTTGCTTTTCCAATATAATTACAAATCCCATTGTCTTCATTAGTAAGAATATCATAGTTTGGTTCTCCAGATTTCAGGGTGCCATAGACAAATACCAAATTTTTTTCTGCCATATTTCTGTAATAATGTATTCCTATAAAACAAAAATCTAATATAAATATAGAAAGTGTGTAATCATAACCCTGCTAAAATAAAAAAATGTTATGATTGACTTCATTTATGATATTTTAAATTTTTTATCTTACGGTCATGAATTTTTTGTATCAAATTTCGAATTGGGCAGTTGAATCATTTATATCTATATTCAATTCTCTCTTAACAAGCATTTACCAAGTGAAAGCAGGAGATATGCACCAAGAAAAGCACCAAGTATATATCACTTGGTAGTTTTTGAAAATTATCTGAACTCTTATTATAGAGGAATAATATCAGTGGTACGAGTGGAGAATTCTGTAAATTGAAATTTTGATCTCCCCTTTGGCTCATCCTTTCTTTTGTCCATGATAAATATAAAAGAGCTGGCTGAACTCTCATTCTCAAGTAATGATGAGCACTAACTAATAAATAGTAGTTAAGTTACATTATGTAGGCAATGTAATTTAACTAGTAGTCAAATTATACTATATAGTTACTATACAGTACTCTAATGTACTGAACTTTACAGTAGAGTATAGAGTATAAAAATAAAGTGTGAACTTTACAGTACACACTTTATTTTTATAAAATAGTCAAAACTACTAGTTAACTACATTTAAACTATTCATAAATAGAAAAAATATATTAGACTGGATTAAAATAATATCTTTGTTTTCATTTCATCTTTATTATCCCACACTTCTAAAGCTTTTTTTTTTTTAACAGATGGCTCAGAATACAAGTTTTCAAATTTTTCATCCAGCATTCTGCAGTCTATGTTTTATGTCCCAACAAGGAAAATAGATGTTTCACTGCAGCACTACTGGCAATAGTGTTGTATTCTAAAAATGCATTCTTTACATGCTAGTAATTGTGTAACACACTCAAACTATCATGCTAGTAATGTGTAACACACTCAAACTATCATGGTACATTTGTAAAGTCGAACGAGTTAAATGTGTTAGTAACAAATTGGTCAAAAAGTAGTAGTCTCTATCAGTGAGTATGCTCTGCAGTAATGATGTTTTGAACTAACAAAGTTCATGAAGGAAAGAGTTAGTTTACTTCGTTAAGAAAACGATGCCTGACGATATCGATGTTTCTGAATCTATTCGAGTGTTTAAATTGTGAATTAAAAGATAAAATGATAGTAATAACTGTCCAACCGAAGCAATCTAAAAAAAATATTTTGAATAATGCTGCACTAGCAACATTCATATCTTTGATTTTAGAAAAAGCCATTTATTTATAAATGAATTGGTCAAAAAGTCTAACGAAATAAGAATAACAATGACATCATTCTCGTTTAACTCATTCAACTTTACGAATGTACCCTAAGTTTCAAATTTTACTTGAAAATTCCTGCCAACCAATTTAAGAAGTAATGACTTGATATGAGTACAAAACAAACTAAAAATATACTTACATAATAAAACATATTTTCTTACATATATGCATGGTAAAATATTAGTGAAACCTGATTTAAAATTCAAATTAATAATAACCAAATTTCAAATGCTACAATTGCTCAAAAACAAGTAAAAACATTGAACCAAGCTTGTTAACTTGAATCAATTTTCATAAAAATCAAGATGTATGTTCTGCTTAATAATTGAAACTGAACATGTACTTAACTTAGTAGTTTAATTACTAAATTAGGATAGTAATTGTAAGTAGTAGTTAAAGTAGTACATTGAGAGTAGATAATTATGTAATTTAATTACATTAGTAGTTAACTACTGCCCATCTCTACTTTTGATTTATATGGTTATGATGTAGTTTCAATCCTAACCTATCACTATCAGATCACACACTAGGAAAGCATAAAAATCCAATATATACTATGTTTCAGATATTTCGTCCGAAAAACTAGAGAATGGAGATTCAATCTTCTTGCATTTTCTGTTTGAAGCATGATCAAATTAAGGGGAGGTCAAAATTTCAATTTACAGAATTCTCCACTTGTGACCATACCATCTTCTAAGAATTGTAAGTTACATTAGTCGGTCAATCTTTACCTATGTGCACCGTCATGGCCACACTGTGGGGACCCACGTTCTAACCTAACTTAACCTATTCTAATAAATTACCAAATTACCAAACAAATTATTGGTAATTTATTAGAATAGGTTAAGTTAGGTTAGAACTTGGATCCCCACTGTGCGGCCATGACGGTGCACATAGGTAAAGATTAACCCATTAGTCTTATGAAATCTGACAATTATTATTTTACCTATTTACTTACTTTTAAAGATTTGTATAGGAAACCTTAAGAACATCCAGCTGATTAGAGAGAAAATTTTAAATTATTTACATAAATAAATGAATGAACAATATACTACTTATGTTATAGGAAGTAGGTAAATTACATAAAATAACTTATAAGAATATCTTATAATAACTTATATCAATCATCTCGAAAATAAAAAATAAAAAGATAAAAAAAAAAAAGAGAGAGAGAGAGAATAAATAATTATCAGTCCTCTAACATGTGACTAGCGTTGCCAGATGTTTTTTGCCCTTGTAGCCAAATAATTTTTAAAAAGTAGCCCAAAAGTAGCCAACTGCTCGAGCACTTGGCTACTTTTGGGCTATTTTTGTACTAGGCGTTGTTTTACGTAGTACTTTTCTACTAATCTACTTGTCACAGTACCAAGGTTACGTTCGTAAAGTCAAACGAGTTAAACACGTTAGTAACGAATCGTTCGAATAGTAGTAATCTCGCTCAGTGCGCATGCTCTGCGGTGATGACGTTTCGAACGAAACTCTAACGAAGTTCACGAAGGAAAGAGTTAGTTTATTTCGTTAAGAAAATGGCGCCCGACGATATCGATGTTTCTAAATCTACTCCAGTGTTTAAATTGTGAATTAAAAGATGAAATGATTGAAGTAACTGTCCACTCGAAGCAATCTAAGAAAAATATTTCGGATAAGGCTGTACTAGCAACATTCGTATCTTCGATTTTAGAAACAGCCATTTAGTTCTAAACGAATTGTTCGAAAAGTCTAACGAAATAAGAATAACGATGACATCATTCTCGTTTAACTCGTTCGACTTTACGAACGTGCCCCAAGATACCCAACACCATATTCCTAGTACCATTCATGAAATCCTAATATCTTTCCTTTCAAAACATTCATTTTTATTCTATATTTCTGTATTTTTTTTTTTTACTTTACTTTGGTAGTTAATAGATTTTTTTTATTGCTTCCTCATTCAAGTGCAGCAGTTGAACGTATTTTTTTGCAATTACATTTAATAAAAACTACAGTCGACCCCCCTATAAGATAGAGATACGTTCCATTCTCTAGGAATCCGATTTCTTACGAATCCTTCCAATCACAACCCGACACGCGTCAAGTTTACGGACTACGGCTGTCTGCAGGCGAAATTCTGTTCTGTTTACTATTAGACTTAAATTATAGAGATTTATTTTATTTTCAATAGTTAGAAGAATATATTTTTTTATGAAACTTAAAATTTCACTGACATTATTTTCATGTTTAGGCCTACGGATCGTTTCAAGAAATCAGGAAATTCAGTTATCTGCAAATCTGCATCACTAAGAACTTAAAAGTAATCATTTCAAATATTCATAATTACTTAAATAATTCTGTCTACTAAATATGAAATTTTCATGTAGATACTGAATTTCATGAAGAGATTCGGAAAGATTCCTCTCGGTATGACCTGTGGCGATTTCTTCGTCATCCATGGGCGTAGCGAGGGGGGAGCCTGGGTGGGCACGGCCCTCCCCAGTGAACCTGGTGCCCCCCCCAGAAAATCACAGCCGAAAAAGTTTTAAGCCGATTTGAAAACAACAAAAAACTTAAAGCTAAAAATTTTGAATACTAATAAAAAAAAAAGGTCTACTGTGCCCAATGTTATGAATAATTTGAAATAATTCAATTTTGTGTTAGGTTGGCCTCTACTAGGCCCCCCACAACAAAACTCTGGCTACGCCCATGCGTAGGAGTAACGTAAGTAACATCAATTAAGAAAGAACAGGTACAGTACAGATAACTTAGCTCTATTGGAGACGTGTACGATCGTACATGCAAAAAAGAAGGTCGACAGGTTGCGCGCCACACGTCGGAATAGACAGACTAACATGGCAGAATTGCAGATGAGTTTCAGTGAGTGAGTTCTTTCGCTGTTAAAATAGTGTAAATTTGTAAAAATATTTGCAAGAACATTGTTTCATCGTAATTTTACAATTTCTACGTAATTCCCGGACAAAATTAATAGTTCACCCGCACAATGAGTCAATTCCCGGACTGTCCGGGTGAAAACCGGACGGGTGGTAACACTAATTTTATTCTCACCATTGTCTTTGAACTTCAGCTGCAGGTAAAACACATAATTCGTGAAGATCTAAATAAGCAAAACAGGTGGACAGATCAATTATCATTTACCTTTCCTTTTGATATTAAAAGTTGTGATCGCACTTACATTGCAGTGACGTCAGTAACCACGTGACGTTCATGCTTGGCAGAATTCCCCTTAAGCTGCGTTTTTGAATATTTTTTCAAATTGCGTATTTTAAACTTCTTTAAATTTATTTTTTTTAAATAGCCGCATCGTGTCGCTTCTACAACAATTAAAAAAAAGAAAACAACTTTTTATAGTGAATACGTAACGTTTTATTATCCAATCGGAAGTAATCTAACTAGCCTGTTGTTTAAAATGTTAACGCGCATTAATTATACCTCTATGGGCAATACAGAATATTTAATTTGTAGAAACATTAGCTACTCTTTTCAATTCTTAAATCTCTACTTTCTCATTAAAAGTAGTCCATCATGCTTGGCGGAGATTTCTAGTATCAAAATAATAATAAATTATATTTAAATTTAATTTTCTAAAGTGCACNATAAGCTACTATGGACATCGAGATAGCAATGAAATTTATTGCTCACCCCAAGGGTGCTGGGGTCGACCACCAAATCGAGGAAAATGCCTCTATACCGAGTACGCTAATTGAATTGCTGACGTTAAGGAACGGACCTTTAAGATCATAGAGAATAGTTCGGGACGAGAAATAACTGTTTCGATTACATTGTCATTCGAAACACTTCTAACAAAAATTGAACTTTCAACAATCAGTAGATTGAAGTGAGCACTTAACGATATTTTAATTTTTGATGCACCGAGAACATCAATAATTTAACGCATGACGTACGTTGGGATGGGTTAACTGTTAACAACTTTTATTTTCTACCAGTTCTTCATCTAACTTTAAACTTGCTTCCACTTTAATCAAATATGCAATAAATCTCTAATTTAACACCAATAATAATTAAATCAGTTACGTCGTATTTTAAATCGTTTCCGCGGTTTTAATTTATTATTTTTTTTATCAGAAAATTTGAAGACGAGATGTGTGTCATTTAAGACCTGCGAATGCATAAAATAGAAAGCTTTTTTAAAAAAAATATAAGATAAGAAACTTTTTTTAAAAATTAGTCAGAAAAACAATCAGCGATAGAGCCTTTCAATCCATTAAAATTTTCGTGAAGTTCATAAAATATTTATTTTTAAATCGATATTAATATAGAAATGAATACATGTATCCATAAATATTATGATCTAATATAAATTTCTAATAGATAAACCAATTTATCTTTAATCTAATTGATTTTTATATATTAAAAACATGTAATCAAGTGAAAAATTTTGGACTTCAGCATCGTGACTGTAGAAAATTGTTTATATGATTAATTATGGTATAAATAATTAACTTTTTTTTATGAAAAATTAAATAGCAAACAATAAAATACTAAATATAATTTACGGTATTTCTCAAAAGAAATTATGGGTTTTTTTCCCTAGTTATAAAATTAAACTTTACTTCGGTAATTGCTCCTGTAAAACACACTTCACTGTATAACTCGAATGCTTAAAATTTTGAAAAATAATAAAATAATGAATTTACACAATACAAAAATGGTTTAGAATAAATAAAATTTGTGCAACAGCTTCAAAATTTTATCAAGCTGTATTTTTTCTGTTGATAATAAAGCAAAGAAGAATAACATTGTTGAATATAATTTATACTTTAATAGCTAGTTTTCAGACAATTGACGATAATTCATCTATTTGAATTGCTTCTAATAATCTTATAATCCAGCACGGTGCTGGAGGAACTAATACGGAATTTACGAACCATTGCATGGGGTAGAGAAAGACTCCATCCCAATAGGAAGACATTTTGACAGTTAGTTCATTCTTTAATTCTCTTATCTTCTAACGTCATTTTTCCATATATATACAATTTCTACATCAATAGAGCAGAAAAAGAAACAGTTTTTTATGTTCTAGAATCTATAGTTAGTAAAAAAATGACTTATACTTCATCCATCTGGAAATCCCCAACGTTCCTCAAGCGTAATACATATGACAAGAAGGGATATTTATGATACAAGTGATATCTATTATATAGCCAAGTATGTCAATAATTATGGCAAAAAAAGAGAAAAATCTGTAGCCATTTTTATATGATTTTACTTTACGGTCATATTGTTACCGGACCTACAGACTATAACAATTTTTCTGAATTTTTACCACTTTATGGTTATATATTTCTACAAATCTATATAAATGCAATCAATATTTCCTTTGAAAAGTCTTCTTTCGTAGAGGAATCCTCGAATATAGAAATTCAAGCAATATCCAATGCTTACTAGAAGCGAATTTAAATGTAATTAGTATAGTAAAAAGTTAATAAGTATATTAACATGACTCCAGATTATAAATTTTCCTCCAAACACGAAGTGAAGACAACAATTAACTTTGGATTTTAAACTGTTTAGAAGATGGAGATTAAGAAAGAAACCGAAACATATTTAAATTTCAGAAGGTTAAATAGAAAAAGAATCAGTAATATTACACGGGTTAGACCGTTCGTAATTATTTTTCCTGTGAAGATTTCGACCTTTAGCTACATCTGTTGAGACAAGTTGCTTTAATTCACCCATGAACTAGTAGAGGGCAGGTGAGTAATTACAGGATGTTAGGTTAATTAAACAGGAGAGAAACTTGAATGATTTAGTAGAATAGAAACAATTTGGATGATGATACAAGCAAAACGTTTGCTGTGGGTAATTGTTAATTAATTAAATTAACTTAAGAGAAAGTTAGCGGTTAACAAATCTTACCCCTGCAAATCTCTCATCAAAATTTGATTCATCTGTCTCTTTGCTTGATTAATGGAGGAAGTTTGCTACCTACAATTAGGAATTGCTTACCCGACTGCTACTAGTACTACTACAGTATTAACTAAATCTGGGGTTAGAGGTGTTGTGAATATTTTAGGTTGCTGCTAACTTAATGTTCCTCCAGACGAGGTTGTAAAGGTACTCCCTTAGGATTCACTTTCTTATAGAGAATACTCGATCTCTATTAGTTTGTCTTTCTTGCTTTTAAAAATTCAACTGAAATTCTTCTTATTTTTCTTCTCGTTTAACTCTTTAATATTCATAAAAACTGATTTCGATTTAAATGTAAAATC